TGGTGATTCTAGTTCAAACTCATCAACAACAAGACTTGTAGATTACATTTTGTTTGATCGCAGAAAAAATAGCAAAAGTAACATTTCTTCTTACCTAAAAATTATTATTATAGGAAGTTACAGTTAAATAAATGTATATAATACTTCACATCTCGTGCTCGATGTGTACTCTAGTGGATAAGTAGTCCAAAATAAAATGTAACGTGTAAAAGAAAATTAAGAGTTGCTTTAAACCTACTCCGAGTATGCCAATATTTCCGGAAGTCGGAAGGCTTCGTTGCTTAGCAACCAAAGGGCCAAACACACGCTACAATCACCTCAGAAGTTTGATAGCTTGGCATGTTAGCATTTCAAGTCGCATATTTAACTTGTTTTTCTGGCGCTTATTATCTCGCCAACCTTCTTAATTATAGTCTATATTTTCATTTGACGCAACAATCAAATGGCAGCGAAGAAGAAAGAAGCAAGTCTGCAGGTGGGAATCACAGCACGGCTACTGTTACGTTAATATATTGAAAATAGTCTTGTTTTTAGCTTCTTATATGACCCTTTGATTTGAGTTTAAATGTTCAGCTAACTCTCTTTACCATGCTCAGGCGTCTGTCACAAACCAGGAGCTGTGGGAAGAGATGCTTGCCACCAAAGGTTTAACAGGTAGGTACTCCTAGTTCAGAAATATAATAACAACTATTGTGTCCCGTTAAACGAGTAGACTACATTTACATATTTATCATTACTAAACATCTTTCTGAGCTGCACAGTTTAACAGTCTGTGTGAATTCAGTCATCGAGTTGTTATTTATTGTATGCTGCTGCCGCCCTGTGTTTAATAGGATAACTGCATGCAGGATTTATGAATGTAACATATTTCTCTCTCTCTCTCTCTCTCACACACACACACACACACGCACGCACGCACACACACACACACACACACACACACACACACACACACACACACACACACACACACACACACACACACTATATCTCCTCCTAGTTGTGGATGTGTACCAACAGTGGTGTGGACCCTGTCGAGCTGTAGTTAGCCTACTAAGAAAAATAAAGAACGAGCTGGGTGATGATCTTCTACATTTTGCCACAGTAAGCGATAAAATGATTGTTGACTGTAAATAATTCAAAGTAAAACAAAAAGTGGGACAGAGGAGCCTCAAACCTGAATATATGTGTGTTTGTGTGTGTGTGCTGTAGGCAGAGGCAGACAGCATTGATGCACTGGAGAGGTATCGAGGGAAATGTGAGCCCACCTTCCTCTTCTATGGGGTGAGTGCAGCTGTGTGTGTGTGTGTGTGTGTGTGTGTGTGTGTGTGTGTGTGTGTGTGTGTTTGTGCAGTAATTTGTGTGTTCACTATCAGTTTAGCTTAATGATCCTTTGTCTGCTATTTTCATTCTGTAATTATTTCTAGTTTATCTGTTTTTTATTTTGTCTAATATATCACTTTAGTCTGCACTAATGATGCACGAATGATGTTGGAAAAAGGGCTGTCGAGGGTCATGATGTTCACGACAACAATGCAAAATTCTGCCCCTTATTTATTCTAATTTTTAATAATCTATTAATAGGAAGCAGAATATATTTTTTCTTTGTTATCTTTGTGTTCATTTTTTGCATTGTTATGTGCTTGCTCACATGGGCCTGCTTATGTCAACATCTTTGTCGCTGCTTGTTAGGATGAATTTTACTAAGGGAAAGAAAAAGGCTCTTTTCTTTATTGGACAGGGTGGAGAGCTTGTGGCGGTGCTGCGAGGGGCAAATGCTCCTCTCCTTCAGAGGATGATAGTAGAGGAATTGAGCAAGGAGAAGTTGGTCCTGGAGCAAGGTGGTGAACGCAGAGCGGTGAGCTTTTAAGATACACACACTCACCTACACACGTATACAATGTTGTTATCCATCAACAGTTATTTTAATTGAGGTGCTGAAACAATAGTGCTTTTTCAACAGCACAAATTTTGTCTGGTCACATTAGAGATAACACTGTTTTAAATAATTGCATTAACAGTGACTGCATTCCAATCAAATGTCACAGTTAGCCATGACAATGTGAAAGTGAATCAGCATGCACATTACCATGAAACTGATGGAGCCTTAATAATATTCTGCCATCATTCATTTTGTTATTTGCACATGAGATTTTCTTTTTCGGCAAGCCAAAATGAATCCATTAGTCTGACAATAATCATGAACTGTTTTCCCAACACACCCACGCACACACACACACACACACACACACACGCACGCACACACCCACCCACCCACACACACACACACACACACACACACACACACACACACACACACACACACACACACACACACACACACACACAGACAGACACACACAAACACACACAGGTTTTATACTAACATAAAGCTAACATATAGTGTAACAGTGTTTGTATTTGTTGTGTCTGTCAGGTTAAAGATAATGGTCTGGTGGATGATGAGAAGGCTGAAGAAGAGGAGGAGACACTTAAACAGTCAGAAAATGATGAAAGCATAATCGGTGATGTGAAGGCAACATTATCATTAGCTCTTAATATTCTTTATTGGCATTAACATACATACTGGTACTGTTGTAACTGTGATTACAAATATTTCTATACCAGTGTTGTCATAATGCTGTAGGACATTTTTCTTACCAATCTTTGGGCTGCCCTTTTCTCCTGTAGTTCCTGCCAGTAAATCCTACACAGTTGCAATCATCAAACCAGATGCTGTAGCTCATGGCAAGGCAAATGAGATCATTATGAAGGTAAACTGCTCACATTCTAAGAAGACAAGATTGTCTAAAGCCTTCCCGCTGACATTAGTTAACTATCTGACACTACTCCCCTGGTTAGATTCAGGACGCTGGATTTGAGATCCTGGCCCATGAAGAGCGCACACTGACCGAGGTTGAAGCTCGAGACTTTTACCAGCACAAAGCAGCAGAGGTATGGTGACAAAGGGGAAGAAAAAGAGCAACTATGCACATACAGGCACACTCATGTCTGTATCTCATTGTTATTAAAGTCACACTGCTCAATGATAAGGTATATGCCCGGGTGGTTCGTCTAGGCCATTACACATTTTCTGTTAACACCCTGATGGGAGGAGAGTCAAGACCAGGGCAAAAATCATTTCAATTAGTTTACAATACATCACGCTTCCATCTGCATTTCTGCACAGGGCTCAAAATAGATCTGCTTTGCAAGCAGCTTTTGTGTTTTTGCTTATCATGCTGTTTGTGATGAGACTAAATCATTGGAGATTCTGAAAAACAAAAGCATGCGAAAATTTGGCCAAGTGAAGCAATAATGATTTTAAAAAGACATATTGTCTGACTTTTAGTATTAATTCAGTTATCTGCATTTATTAATTTCTTACATTAACCTATGTTTATGCTCTTGTCTCTGTGTGTACCTGTGTGTATGTTATGGTGGTTATGTAGGTTTACTTCCAGGACTTGGTGCAGTTTATGTCCAGTGGCCCGTCCAATATCCTGGTACTTTCTCAGGTTGAGGACTCAGCCAATGTTGTAACAGCATGGCGTGAGTTCATTGGCCCTGCAGATAACGAGGAAGCCAGGAGAGAGAAGCCAGAAAGGTTAGTTATTGGAAAACATATTCTAAATTCACACAGTAGTTAAGAAATAAAAATCAAACATGGCATTGAAAACGTAAGATACAGTTAGATTTGTTGTTTAAAAAATGATTGTTTCTGTGCCTTTGTGAAGCAGAACATTTGTTTACAGCAGAGACATTATTCATGCACTGTTGATTGTGTGAAAAAATGTCAGGCTTAAGTCTGCAAAAAAGCGATTGAACAGCACATTCTCGCCCGCTCTGTCAGACACACCCAAACATTATGCTTCTCTCTGGTTAAGCACCAGCCGAGCAACCATCTGCTCTCCTCTCCTTTCTCCCCCCCTGGCTTCCTGCAGCTTGCGGGCACAATACGGCACACAGGCACTGTTCAACGCAGTGCACGGTAGTGAGGACATTGACCAGGCCGGCAGGGAGCTCGCCTTCCTCTTCCCCAACTTTAGGACAGCGTCAGTGACGGGGCAGGATGGGGAGGAAGAGCGTGTGGAGAGGACACTGGCTCTTATCCGGCCTGACGTTGCCAGAGAGAACAGAGGTGGGGTCCGTGCCAAATACACAAGTACACTGGTGTGCTAGCACAGATACAAACACTTAGTTGTTTTTTTATTGATATCGTGGGACTGCTTCTTAAATTCTCTGAGCAAAGTGTTGAATAAATCAGGTGCAGCTTCATTTTGCACTCTCAAACTAAACTATCACAACTAACTCAGTAAATCAAAATGATCTTACATTGAATTAGGCCCTTTTTTAAAAACTGAACATTATCAACTTCATGAAGGTAGGTTTTAAACCACGATTATTGCATCAGACTGAAATGAGAATTGCACACCTAAGAAACTGGTGTGTGAGTGTATGTCTTTCATCTATTGTTGTGCAGAAAAGATCCTGGCCAAAATCCACGAGTCAGGCTTCACTGTGGTTTTGAAAAGAGAGTTGAAGTTAACAGAGGAGCAGGTCAGACAGTTTTACTTCCAACATGTCAAGGAGGAACACTTCCCTGCACTGCTCAAAAGCATGACCAGGTGACTTACACTACTTAAAGTAGAATAAATCTAAAGAGTAGTTTGTGACTGCAGAGGTGCATTAAAATGTGTTTTTGAACAGTGGGCCCGTCCTAGCTTTGGCTCTTGCCAGAACGGGGGCCATTGAAGACTGGAGGAACATCCTCGGCCCTTCTGACATCAATCAAGCCAGAGAGGAGAGACCTGAATGGTGAGTGATGTGTGGTTCTTCGTGTATACAAATAAATGAGATGAAAGGACTTTTCACTGTTGACTACTCATTGAAAATACTTCTTTCTCTTTTGGCCATTTTTTTTTTACGTCTTCAGGCTCTGCAGATACGTATTATACACAAATGTGTGATTAAAGAGAGGAAAGCTTACAGTTCTGCACTGACGTTTTACAATTAAAGGCAGGAAATCAAGTAAATAACAATTGATTTTCTGACAGGGAGGTATTCTGAATCACATCTAAATTTTTCAAGCCAACAAGCCGAACATGTCTCTCCATTATTCATCACAGAACTCCTCCTGTTAAAGCTCAAACATCACACATGTTCAATGAGGAATTTAAGAGGCAAGGCACCAAAATAGCTTAAATCTCTTGGAAGGCAATCTCAGAAATTTGAAAAAATCCCTACTTGTCCTTCAAAAAGTCAAAAAATACAATTGTACAGCTTCATCTACTGAGAATTCCTTAAAATAAACAGACATTAGCTGTGGAGTTAAGATGGTATCCCGCAGTCTAACCATACCTGTAATTCTGACCTTCTACTGTATATGTCTCATCACTCAGTCTGAGGGCCATGTTCGCTTTGGAGAGCGAGCCTATCAACCCCCTCCATGGCAGTGCAAACCTTGAAGACGCAGAAAGAGAGATCAACTTCTTCTTCCCTAAACAGCAAACACTGGCAATGATCAAACCTGATGCCATGGAGGAACACAAAGGTTCTTTCTTGTCATTTAAAGAAACAAAAACAATGTTAACCACTGTTTATTACAAAGATCTGAAGACAGAAGTATATCTTCTTCATTCATTATTTTCTCTCCAACAGAGAAGATTCTGGAGGAGATCTATGGCATGGGTTTCTCTGTTACGCAGCTGAAGGAGACGGTGCTGTCAAGGGAGACAGCTGAGGAGTTTTACAAAGAGCACAGAGAGAAGCCCTTCTTCAGTCAATTGGTTGAATACATGTGTAGGTTAGTCTATCCCCGAACACAGCCAGAGGAGAAGGGCAAAATGTCCCTAGCAGACCTGCCCTCATTCTCAGTGCTGCTGCAAGTTTAACAGCACTTTTAACTGTAATCTCAGTAGCTTAGAATCAAGGCAGCCTCAGGCAAGTGGCGAGTAGTCCATCTCAATTTCTTTCTTTGTCCCACCACACATATATAGATTTTGGAGTTATCTTCCGCTCTGATTAGTCCCTTCACTCAGTTGTTACACAACTGCTCGGACAAAAAAATGCTGCAGCCTGAGAAACTACCTTTACTGTCACTCTCCTTTAATATCAGCTCAGGTTTAGTCTTAATAGTGTTTCTATACTCCAATCAGTGTGAAAGAGGCTCCATGTGTTTGTAAAGTTAAAGTAACACTTTTTCTTACAATGTAAGAAAGGTATGCACTGTTACACCTATCACAGTGTAACAGAGTGAAGTAAGCACTGTACCTCACACTGGTAGGTAATGTCAGAATCAGATTTATTGGCCAGGTATGCTGACATAGACAAGGAATTTAACTTCAGTGAACTGTGCTCTCATATGTACAGGTACAACATTAAATATCAACAATAAACATAATAAGAAAAGACTAATATGAAACAGTGCAGTGGTGAATAGCGCAAAAGATGCTGAAGTAACATGATAAGTAAAATGCAATTATGTGACAGATGGGTCAATTAGGGTTTTACAGTATTTACATAAATAAGTGTGCATATAATATGCACTGTTGCACCTATCCCTGCACCACTCAGCAATGTCACATGGTACTGGACTACTTGTAAAAAAATAAATAAAATTACATTTCAAATGTTTCAAAAGATTTGAAAAACATAGTTTCAATATAAACAGGGTCATATTAAGCTGCGGAAATACTTTATTAAATGCCAATGGAACCAGTGTTACAATTACCTAGACATCTAAAAAACTTTATATATTTTAACCAGGTTCACTCATTTTAACTAAGAAGTCTACAAATCTGTTAACCTGAAAAGTTAAGTATGAATGTTTACTGAGAGAATTCAATGTAAAGTTGCTCTTTTAACAGAAAGTGACCCTCTGTGTTATTGTCATTATTTTTTTCAGCAGACCTTGCTTGATGCTGTTCTGGCTAAGGAAAATGCAGTGGAAGATTTTAGGGTCATGATGGGTCCTACAGACCCTGACCAAGCTAAGGCTACGTCCCCAAACTCTCTGAGGGCCCGCTTTGCCTCTGACATCCTTCACAACTCAGTCCATGGATCCTCCAGTGAGACGCAAGCAGAAGAGGAGATACGACTTGTCTTTGGTGACATCAGCTCAGACACAGAGCTCACCAGTGGTGGAGAGACTGACACCACCCTTTTAGGTAATCATATGATGTGTGTGAGACAGTGATTTCATCTGTCACACCAACTGGTGTCACAGGAATAACTTTATTCATCATTTAGTGTGATGTCTATGGCTGAAGTATGTATCAATTTCTTTCAGCAAAAGATCGAATTCAGAGGATTAACCCTCTACTAAGTCTACTTTTCTGTATGATAAATGATTTAACGGTCCAGCAAAGGCCTGTCCCACGCTAAAGGACTTTCAAGGAAAACACAACCAGTGTGCAGCCAATATTCTCATTGGTACATTTTCCCATTAATTGCACCTAAATAAAAAGCTGTTCAGGTTGTAAACTCTACTTTTGGATATGCTGTTAATCACATGACAGTTCAGGATAAATTATCTTGGAATGCAAAGTTAACCCGGTCTACTTTTTTAATCAATAGATTTGGTAACCTGCCTCAAACCCCCATTAATATTTAAACTGGTTATATTTAAAATGTCATTTTTTTAATGTCCTATGACTGCAAATAAACCTGCCTTTAGTCTTGTCAAGGTTAGAATTTGATTTGGGGAGGAGACACAGGGTTCAATCAGGCCTTCTGTGTGTGCATGTGCTGTACCTTTCAGAGAATCCATCTCCTGAATTGCTGCACAGCAATCACTACTTTTTGTCCTGGGAAATAAGACAAGCTAGCAAACAGATATGTCTCTTTATAATGACCGCATTCAGAAAGCTTCCACGAGCGAAAGGAGTTCTCTCTTCTGATTCTGAAAAACAACACCATTAATCTTCGAAACACACTAACGTCGGCTATCATGGGGATATAAACTGCTTTTGCTCTCTTTGTCAGGAAACTCCAGTAAGTCTTGATTTGCTGCGTTATGGATGTTGAGGGCAATATGCATTCAAATAGGCAACACATTCTCTTTCATTCCATTTTGTGGAGATAATAATAGGTTTAAGTGGAATGGTAGGCCTTTTTGAGTCCTGTGGTTGATTAATTTAAACTGCTGTTTCCCAAACGTGGGTATGTGAAGTGACTTAGTAGATACAGAGAAGTTACTTTACATTTTCAAGTCAAGTCAAACTGACCTGGAAATGGACATGAAATCTTAAAAACTCAGTACAGCCCAGTAACATTGCTAACACTACAGTTATGTATAACCTGACCTCTAGTTTTAGAGGGTTGGTGGCGTGCAGTTGGAGCTAAAATAACTGAAAGTTGCTGGATAGTTAACTTTATTCATTCCCGGGGAGGGGAGCCTGGTGCATTGATTTATACAGAGAAACTTTATAATTTAATTTGTTTCAAGATATCACTGTATAGGGAATTAATATGTGGTTTGTTGTTTCATCCATTGATTTTCAGGTGACACACATAGTTCAAATCCTGGCAGCCCACAGACCGGAGGAGGTGACGATCCAGAGCTCTCAAACTAAATCAAGTCCCACATTTAGTCATTTCTCTTGCATAGAAGGTTTATTCTGTAATATATTGTGAAAAAAATGCAAATCTGTCAAGCTATGAATCATGAAATAACAAGGAAGATGTGTTGTCTGTTTACATGCTTTGTATACTGTATGTGTAGGTGGAGGGACATTACAATCTGCCATCATATTCCTTTAGAAGGGGTTGAGTTATTTTTTTTAATATATTCTGCTGACATGATAATCACTCTACATGCTGCCTTAGCTCCTCTTAGCAGCTGTAAAATACACGACCCTGACCAGGATTGTAGTCACGACAAAACAATTATTTCAGGGTTTATAAAATAAAAGCTTTTTTTCCTATAACTAGACAACAATGAGAGGTACACTCTATTCAGTCAATCATGGGATTGCCTGCAAATGAATTGCCATTTCCAGGTCTAACTACCACACTGTGACATTATGAATATGAGTGATTAGACACATTCTTTTCCTTTGAGCTTAATAACAGCAGTTTAGCTTTACAATTGTGGACAACTTACCTCAGCTTAATTAGCATCATCAGAACAAAAACCTATTAAACCAACATTAGCTTTATTGCTTTATGCTTGCTAGTGGAATTATTGAGACTAGGCCTTACACATTTAACTATGAAATTAAAACTGTTTTTCCCCCTAAATCAGCAACAGTACTCAAGATAATCAAAGATAAACATCCCACTGCATAAGTAACCAGCCAGGATACATTTTCAGAGATTCTAAAGAAAAACTTAAGAATCAAATATTTATTAATTTTCTCTGTCGCAAAAAAATAGGTTTATTAAAGTATTAAAAAAAAGTTATGTTCACATACGTTCAGTTCATGATAAGCTCAGCAAAATCTGGTATGGGGCTTGTTGACTGTCAGCCATTAAAAGTCATTAAAAGTCATCTGCTGAAATAGTCTTTGATGCTCCTTTTGCTGGGGTCTTGTCCGAACATGCCTTGTTGACCACAGCTGTCTTCAGGCGGGGAGTCCTCCCAGTCGTTTGCGGCCTCCAGTAAGATGGCCTCGTCCATATCATCATCCGCAGTGAAAGAGCTCTGGAACATTTCCATGATACTCCTCTGCTTAGGATCCTGAACAACAACAAATAATCACTTCATCTACAGGCTCACTAATGATGCAGCTTCAGTAGGTATGCTCTGCTGTACTGGATATGGTTACAACTTTATTTATGTTAATGTGTGAATGTTATTGAGAAACATGAAATGGTTTAAAATTATTGACTTCTTACCTTAGAGTGGAAGCTTGCGTTGACTGCCTTGTCAGAGAGGTTGGACTCAGATAGGCCTACCTGCTCTAAGACATTCATTTTGGCCTGGATCATTGGCCTGGATCAATACATAGTGAATGTATTATAATGGAGCAGAAGCAATTAAATACACAACTTGTCACAATATGTCTTTCAGGAAAAACAACATTAACTTGACCTCACAGAGTCAGCTTTGGCTCATTGTTAAAAGACAAATGCTACAGTGTGGTAAAATCAGAATTAGGTAATTCAGCCCACTGACTGACACATACCACAGGTGATCATCAGCAGTTCCCTTGGCAACCAGGTAGTGAATGTTCACATTGCTGGTTTGTCCAATACGATGCACCCTATCCTCTGCCTGAATGAGAACCTGCAATGAGAAGAAAGCATTACAACAAAATCAGCAATTACATTTTTCATGAAATCATCAAAGGTGTTCTGTCTGTATTCAGCTGTGGTGACCCCTGGAGGTTGACTGCTGCTTTAGAAACAAATAAATATAATTATAATCTATCATTTAAATGTATAATTTTGCTGTCAGGAGTTAAAGTGAAAGCACCAATAAAATGACTGTTGGAGCTTAAGCTGTGGTTAATGTGAAAGAGAACAGGTTAAGTACAGAGCTCTTAATGGTGCTTTCACAGAGAAGTAAGCTGTTCTCAGAATTACTTCTGACCTTTTCTTGTAAATTAAAGTAGCCTATTTAAACTGTAGTGTGATATTTGTCACATCTTTGTCACTGCTAACACCAGGGTTGGCATGAGGGTGGAAGTGTTGAGTAAAAAGCCACCTCTGATGTGTTTGGGTGGATGCTTTTTTCCATGTAAATGTTGAATGTTTGCTTTAAGGATCTGTCGTCAAATGAAGAAAATATCCCTGATTAACTCCTTAAAGAAAAAAGGCTGCCAAAAGTAAAATAAAATCTGCAACATTTTAGGCACATGACCAAGAACAGCTTTTATCCGTTTTTGTCGTCTCCTCTGCCCTCCAGCAGGAATATACTTTATAAATCATTCTCTCTCACATATCACAAAGGGCAGATGTGCAGTGTTGATGAGGAGAGAAAGAAAATAAATTGCAGTAGTGGGTTGTAAAGCTGTTATTGTTAACACATGAGATATGTTTTCCTCATTTGTATTTCAAGTTTCTTTTTGACTTTTGAGATAAAGTTTTGTTTATTAAGCAGCTACATGTTTCACTTTTTTCACTGGCAACTTTGTTCTCTTCTCTGTTTGTCATTTGGTGTCAGCATGTAGTCTGTAGTCAACAGGTTTCAGTCTGTTTTTCCTGAACAGCTGAAGACATGGTTGGACAAAGGAGTATCTAATAAAGTGTTAATAGTAGCCACAAAACCAAAAGTGAGCTGACAGAGGATAAAAGACAAAGATTTGGATTGAAACAAAATTAAAGTCCAAAGCACTAGTGAAGATGTTTCTTTAAAAAGTACTCACACGGAGTATGCAGTAATTTGTAGTGAAGACTTTCTCTGGCTTACCCCAGGGTTCCAAAAAAGCTCAGCAAAGACCACAAGGTCAGCAGCGTGCAGAGTCAGACCCATGTTAGCTGCAGTGATGGACAGGACAGCTATGCAGCTATTGGTCGAGACCTGGAACTTCTCACAGAGCTGCTGCCGTTCAGCCGATGGAGTGGTCCCATCTATACGTATGTAAGCGGCATTCTAAAGAAGTAATTTTAAAACCTTGTGAATGGTGAGCATTTTTATAAACATTATAGAACTCCAAATGATCCTTTAACACAAACTCTTCACACTCAGAGTGGCTTTTAGTTGTGGGCCAAAACAAATTAACTGAATTAACGACCCTTCCTTTTAAAACCACAAAAACGATAAGTCATAATAGTTCTAAGCAGAAATGTGCTCAGCACTGCCCACACTTATTCCCTAGATAGCGATGAAACTTGACCTATGAGTTGACTTCAACTCCCACGCAAGAGCCAGTCTAGTTTAAAAAGTCAAATCGACTCTTTTAAGCCAACATTAGATTTCAGTTCCTCTCAGGCTTCTGCGCAGTGTGCTAATGGGCTTACCTTTTTTCCAAGTTCACTGGTGATATGATCCAGGACTAACTTATGATGGGCAAACACTAGAAACTTCTCCCTCCCACACTCCATCATATCTGTGATGTACTCCCTGGTAGTGACAGAAAGAATACATCTCTCAAAGGGAAGAGTCAAATATTCAGTTTACATGAGTATTTATCACAACGCTTCCAGTTATCACAAATCCAGTGCAATCACAACGCTCTGACAAAAGACTCCGATTCATTTTGCATTTTAATCTCAGTGCTCATCATATTTAATCTGATTTGACGTACTGATCCCCACCATTAGAGGGTCTGTACTTACATAATCGCTTGTAGCTTGGCTTCAGCTGTGTGGTTATAAAAGATGAGCAGGGCCTCCTTCTCTTCCCTTTTCTGAGAAAGGAGATAAGAAACAGTACAAGATAAGAACTGACAAGAGATTCTTTTTGATGATTGGATGCGACTGCCACTACTCGGAGGAGCAGTGTGATTATGAACAATCAAGCTCAGCAGCTCACTACCATCTGAGGATATGAAAACTAGTAGAATAAGGTTCACTGGAGTCCTCTGGGTTAGCTTAAAAGCATTTTTGAAGCCTGAAAGGACCCCAACAGCCGATCATCTGAATTCCACGTGTTAAACAAAGGATCCTTATGCTTATTGAACTAAAATACTTTTTTAATCACAGACAATCCATTCAAAAAAGAATATACTGTTGTATTTTATCTTTAGGAAATAAGAGAATGTGTAATTTGAGGGACGGATCGGAAGAAGAGGTGATATAACTCGAAAATATTTTTAAGTCTAACAAAATGAAGTCTTAAATTATTAATAAAAACGATAAAAAGCTATCATTTATTTTTTAAACTCTATTGTTTGGGAGTAACTTAACACATTCTTGTTTCCAGTTTATCAAAATAAATACGCCTTTTCAACCAACATTGAAATTAAAAAATATAAACTTTAACTTATCTGTCTAACATGCTCTGAAATCTTATTGTAATCACTGCCACCTGGGTAAAAAAAAAAGTTGTGCAACTTTGTTGTTTATATCTTTCAATTTAATTTTTCTGTTTCAATTGTGCCTCAATCCCTAAAATGATAATACCTGTAGAGACTGATATCCTTGAAGTGTTCAAATCCTTTTTTGTGTGTGATTTTGTTACTTTTTCATATTTTCAAAGATCATGTGAACTTACATTGCTGTTTCCGTTGGCTAACTGCTTGGCGGCAGCAGACAGAGCAGCTTTGGTGCGGGTGCTGACACCATCTATAGTCACTGTGACCACCTTGCGTTGTTTAGAGGGAAGCTGAGAGAGGACTTCAGACTTGAGGCGACGCAGCATCAGACACTCCTCCAATAACAGCTTCAGCTCTCCAAGGTTAGAGGAGCCCGAGTAATCCCAGCCCCAAGTCATCTAGAGGGGGGGAGGAGATATACAGAAGAGACAATTACAAAACAACAGACTTGATGGAGGGAGGAATGAGGAGATGTAAGACATGAGGTAAAATTAACAGCTCAGCCAAAAACCTTAAACTTTGAAATGAGACTAAACTTAAAGAATGAAAAACTCTGATTTCACACATGAACTGGAAAAGCTCCAGCTGGAGAACATCAGTATGTGGCCTTATTTTAGCAGATGGACTTCTATGGTGATAGACCCCATTTTTACAGGGCAGCTCATAATCTCCACATTCTTAGCTGGATATTAGTCATCAAGACCAAATTAAGGTCGTAATTGGTCTTTAAATCATGCAGAGTGTTCCCTATTCAAAACCAAAGAAATGAATTAAGATGATTAATTGGCAAGAAGGAGAGTCACAGAAAATGGGATGAAATAAATGGAGAGCCCCCCCCCCCCAAATATATAAAATAACAATCTAAGTAATCACAGTAAAGGAATGTGTTGATGCCTAAAACACAACTGGGTTTAATTCCTTAGACTGCTCACTTACCGGTATGTATACTTCCTTTAAATGATGAATGTCATCAGTAATACATATTTGCTAATCAACCCACTTTAAATCCTCTGGTGTCTCCCTGACCTCCCAGCCAATAGCTCAACAATATTAAACGCCAATCTTGGAAAGACTTAAGCTACCTGTTTGGCATTGCAGTAGCGCATCCCAAAATCATGGAAGCGGGGGAAGAGTGTAGGCCTGACAGCCAGGATCTGGGTGTAGAGCTCACAGGGTCTGGACATGGCGGGGGTCCCGGACAGAAGAATCACTCTCTTTGCTGCCTGAAGATGGAAAAACAACTAATCAGAGCACTGTTAAGGATCAAGGTATTAAACCTAACCATGAGCCAAGTCCTGCGTGATGCGGCTTTAGCTGGTTAGTGGATCCATGTCACCAGCAAACATTCCTGTACTATACAGATACATCAATGCAGTCTCTGTAATACAGTAATGTTGAGAATGAGGTTTAATTACTGGGATCTAAATAGAACTTGAGGAAAGACTAAATATGTGTTAAAGCTCAAATTAAATAATGTTGCTTGTGTAGCTTGTCAATCTAATAAACTAATGAAACTGGCTCATGGTCTGTTTGAGGACTATTCTTGTGTAGATCTAAAAATAAGAATACATTTTATCTATAATACGCTTTACAAGAAAAGTTTTAATGAACATTCGGGACAATGTTACGTGCAAAACTTGGAACAGAAACTTAAATGTCTGATAGGTGACCTAGTGGAAAGGAAAATTGGTCCATGTTTTATTGGCAAGCTTATACCTGAATACTTAGATAAACTGTTTCTTTAAATGAGCTCTTGATATTTCACTTTGGATATTTTTGTGATATCCTGCTGAGAGCCTTTTATGTACTTTACAGGGTTATTAAACCGAATCAAATGTTAAATAGAAGAAGGAGTACCTTCAGGAGAGGTAAGGCTGCCCTACAACGAGCAGTCTTCATGTTCTTCAGAAAGTGAGACTCGTCCTGCATAGAATGACAAATAAACAGGGTTATTAATAACCTAGAGTTTAAGTTTTATAGTAATGGATACTGGAATCGAGAACAGTCATTGCTATATTCTGAACAGTTTAACCAAACAGCTGACCATGATGAGAACGCTGAAGGGGTTTCCTGGCAGCTGCTTGTCCATCCTGCTCAGGAGGTCGTAGCTGATGATGTTGACCGTACCAGAGCGCAGATTATCTTTGGCCTTCACCACCACGTTGATGCTGTCAGCACTCAGGGAGGGAAGCCAGCGTCTGAAGGCCTTCAGGCAGAGACACTTACTCATGTAAGACATGCAGAATCAACACTAAAGAATTTTAAATTCAGGGTGTACTTTTTCAGAGAAAAAACTTCAAGAAGACGTCTGTGACTGGTCGCTGGTTTACATGTTGCTAATCATCAGCAATTCAGCCTAACTGTTATTATAAAAGAGCTGACCCTCGTTCAGAAATACGGTGGCCCAAATGTTTCTGACAATTTACTTACTTGCTCTACATTCTCCTGTCAACCTGGCTTAAAGTCACAAAGTGATGTCTATTTTTACAGCAAATCAGTCTACATGCAGAGCGCTAACAGTGCAGATAATATCGGAGCTAGACTGACTAAGTATCCTTTCAACTGGAAGACACTCTATAACTAAACTCTCCTCTGTGTTTTCTGACTTCTGATTGGTGGACTGTGTTTGATCCGAGCAATCTATTTCGAGAACAGCCTGTGTTGTCTTGTCAATAGACAGAAGGCAAAGTGAGGATCTTCAGAAAATGCAGTGCTGCCAGAAAAGTAGAGTATAGATGCTACAGAAAATGAGAGACACTCAGAAATAAGCGAGAGCCAAGATGATCTCTGAAAGAAAATAAAAAACTGGGACATGGAAGGAATAACAATAATAACAATTCAATAATGGCGAGCAAAGGGTCGGATTGTTTTAGATGTGTGTCTACAAAGTCTCAGGTTGTAAATTAGCTGGAGAAACCGTTTCCAACATATGTCCAGTTTACCTTTCAACAGAATAATTAATCAGATAAAGGGGATAATACAAAATGTTAAACTTTCAAAATCCCCAAAGAATAACTGATATTCATTTCTATCACAAATCAACAATTCACATTTCTAAATATCGATTGAAACAATTAGACAAATAAAAGACATCAATTCATTCTGCCAATTTACCCACTGAAGATAAAGTACAGACCAGAGAGTAACTAGTCCTTGGGGGTCTTACTCGAATGCAGAAAGCTTTATACTGTGTGGGGCAAAGCATTTGTCAGAGGAGGAGACTTGAAGGATATGCTTATGAAGCCGCCTGCTGACTTAATGCAGACTGATAATGACACCATTAAACAGAAACAAAGTGATAAACTCCTGCCTCCTCTAAGTAATGAGCTTTTTTCTCCGAGGCACAAAACTTTGATTAAGAAGAAAAAACACTGCTAATTCTTTTTACCTCGGCCCAGGTGAAGCGCACAGAGGAGGGAGCCACCACCAGCAAAGGCCACTCGTTCCTGTAGTAGTCGGCTATGCAGATGGCCTGCACCGTCTTTCCCAGGCCCATGTCATCAGCCAAGAGGAGGCGGCCTTGTTTTGACACTGCAAAACTAAAGAAACATATGACATAATAATGTCAGAAATTACTGTTTCGCTGATCAAACTGTTTCAATCTAAAAACGTGCAGTACAATCACAGATGATTGGCATATAAATACTGAATCATTCTGATGAGTCTCTTCATTTGCGCAAGGCTGTCATCATTATATTTAAATAGCTGTCTCGAGGTATTGAGTTATTGGCTACACCATGCAGAGAGAGCACTAATGGCTTTCAAAAGGCACCTACTTGACTCCCTCCCTCTGGAAGGGCATGAGGCTGCGGGTGAGCGAGGGGTCGATGCCGGAGAGGTCTGCCTCAGGGACGTCTAAAGACCTGGCTTCGGTCCCATCAAAGCTGGCAGAAAACGCCTGGACTATTGCCCTGGGCAGAGGCTCCACCTCCACTGCTGCTATCCCACTGAGAAGATCCACTGGGTGTGGAACAACGCACGGTCAGACAAGATGGCAAATGTTACAGAGACAAACAGAATCACAGAGATAAAAACAGCCAGATACAGCATATGTTGTTACTCACTGAGTCTCTTGTAGTCTTCAAGTGAAAAGCTCCACTTCCTTGCTTTCATATCTGCCACAGAACAAAAGAAAACGCATCAGAAGCTGAACAACTCCAATTAAAGCGGCCATAAATATTCAAAAACATTTTGTTACCATAGCTCTTCGTTGGCATCTGCTTGAACGCTGCAATGACATCGCCATGATAACCGATATCAACCTCAAACTTTGTCCGAGACACCAGGATGCACTGGCCCTGCAGAGTAGCTCCAGGTTTCTGCCAGCCGTTACACAGCTTCAGCAGCGCCCCCAGTGCTGCACCGTCGCGAGCTCGGCTGGTGGCTACAGCAACGTCCAGTGCTTCCATTCCCTCCAGAGGCCTCAAAGACACAGAGGGAATCGAAGCTGCTTCGTCCACTGCGACAAGGGGGGAAAGACAAGAGGTGATGCAGCAGCAGCCCAACAAGAGTACTCGGTCACATAATCAATTCAAACTACTTCTTTGAAGATAAAAAAAGCATGCTTTGTGAATTTTACCCTAACATTCATACTTAGCTGTTGGTAGTCCTCCAGGCCGAAGTTCCACATCTTTGTGGCAGGGTCTAAAGCAGAACAGAATACTCAGTATTCCAAAAGGCTGTACAGAAATAGACATGTATAAGAGCAAACATATCAAATAACTTGGGAATTAAAGAAAGACGATACTGGTTCGGATGAAGGACTTGTCAACAGTTTCTTCAACAAATAAGAATGCTGAAGTTTTTGTCAGTGGTTATACAGTAGTTCAGTCATTTTATCGTCTTTTATTGCTTGTTTTTTCCTTCAGGGATATGATCGGCAAAGGACAAAAAAGAAGCACCCCCCCCCACCACTAACATAAAAAGACAATAAATACTTCTACAATATTTGAAATGCCCCATAACTGGACCCAAACGTTACCTACAATGTTTTTTTTTGTCTTTATCAACAATTCGTTGGTCAATGCCATTAGATGAATATTCATGGGTTAATAGTAGGAACCATCAGGTAAGGGGGCTCTTCCGGTCCCCAAAGAACATGTTTAGAACCAAACCTTTATTTTCCTGCAACCCGACCAATTTTTAAGCACCAATGTGTGCTTTGTTGCGCAACATTTTATAGATAAGTCCTCTTTTAAGTGTCTTTTCTTATTAATTTAGTTTTTATATGGAACCTCTTCAAATCAGTGACAAATGAATTCATTGAAGTACTTTTACAAGTGTGTGGACTTTAATAGTTCTTGTGTTTCTGCACTGTTTTAGCCCTGCAGAATCTCTAAAGCTGTAGCTCTATGAAAGTATGTATAAGTCACAGGTAGTTCTGAGTGACATCACTGAGTGACTTGTTTTCTTTATGCACTTCTTATAATGGCAAACAATATGAAAATGTAAACAAACCTTTTTGTGACACATGGCCATGCAGTTATGAATTGACTTATCTTTAGTTTGACTTATATCTTGATTTGGATTAGAAGACGGTTCAGGACAAAGAACATTTCATAAAGTCGCCCAAACAACTTAATTCCTTCTTCTTTTTTTTTTAATTGCTTTGCTTTAGTCTTTCAAAGCACTTTGTAAACAACTGTTCATACAGTGCTATGTACATGAAGTTTGTATTATTTGTTTGTTTGTTTGCAAGTCAACTGCATGGCATGATTGGGTTTATTTAAAAACTGCAGAATCTGTTGATACATTAAAGTAAGTCTAATCAGTCACAAGATGATGCAGAACCTACTCTGACTATTTCCGACTGAGAGGTAAACAGCTTGTGAAATAATTACATCAGTAAAAAAGTTGCTAATTTGTGTTTGCGTATGCTTGTTATTTGTTTATCACTTTCTGTATTTCATATGTGTACAGCTGTCTTTACTGGAGATGTAAAAAGAAAAGACAAAAGATATGAGCATCAAGACTTAGCTGAAACATTAGACCTCCACTCCCAGGATACTTACCATAGTTCTTTGAAGAGATGGATTTAAAAACTGCAATGAGTTCGGCATGATAGCCGACTTCTATTCTGAAGCGTCCCTCTGTGTGAGATACACATTTTCCTCTTACGGAGATGGCAGGCTTCTTAGTAGGTGCACCATTAAGAGTTGAAGAGTTAGAGGGTAGCTGTGCAACAGGGCTTTGGGCAGGTTTACTAGTCTGCTTGTAGAATGAGCCAATTGCTCCACCAGAGGTATTTGAGGTGAGGTTAGACTTGGGATGAGCTGGCTTTGCCCCAAAGCTTCCTCCGCTTGACAAGACAGTGCTGCTCACATGTTGACTTGTTGTCTGGGGTAGTGGGTCAATAACTTTCACCTACAAAAAAGGACAGTGAGCAGATTAAGCAAACAGTATAAAAGTTATTTTCTCTAAACATTAAATTGAACATTACAGCACAGATCTCACCTGTCTCGAAGTAGCAGAGTTACACAGAGCACTCTGGTTGATCTGGTTGCCAGTGCCAGATAACTGCTGATGGTTTTGGCCATGATTTGGATTATAGAGGCTTTGTGAGTCTTTTTTGAGGGGTGGAACAAAGCGCTTGGGTTCAGAGACCACGCTTGGTGTTTCTCTGTGATGTGTTTTTAAGGGTGGGACAAACCGTTTTGGTTCAGGGGCAAAACTGGGTGTTTCTCTGAGATGTGTGAGGGCAGCAGGATCCGAAGCAATGCCTCGTTTAGGAGGGTGAGTCTGTACTGAACTACTGGAGGAGAGTGCTGAGGCCTGCTTGTTGCTGCTAATATTCTGTCCAAGTCTTTGGGCTCTTCTCTCCAAAGCCCTCTGTCTGTTTTCTTCTATCTTTCTCCACTGCTCTGCACTCAGTGGATTAGACATGATGATGAACTCTGCTGCACCTAACGCCAAGCAACGACGTTTGACTCACACTCAGAGTTAACAAAGATATCTAGTTAGCCAACAATCAAGTGATGCATGTACAAGTTTCTCCGTTAGCATACAGTACGTGCACTGTATGCTTCCCTGCTAGCAGTGGAAGCTAACGTTGGCTAGCAAGGGCGGCAACAGTTAGCAGCGAAATAAACCGTGTTAGTGCCTTACAGTCTATGGTTAGTGTTAGTCATATGGCAGCATCTATTCACTGGAGAGTACATGACCAAGAGTGATGTCTAGATACGAACAATGTTATTCAAAGTTGTACGAACGAAGCAGACAGAAACCTTTAACGCTAGTTGACAACTTACTTGTTCAACAAAGCGGTGAGTCTGCCGCGCAGGAAGTGACGTTACAAAACAACCAGGCACGTGTCGGTGGCGGTTGCCTGGTGATGTAGTCATAGCAACAAACATGAGCATCGATATTAACCATAGGCTATATTATTATTAACCCTTAATATTTACAGTATTAACCTTAACCATTACACGTTTTTAGATGTTTGTATTTCACATTATTTCGTGAGTACCCGAAAGTGTTTAATGCGTCAGCTTTAAAGAGAAGGCATGCAAACTGTTTCACTACATTGAAGGTAAGGTTGAAGTTTAGCTGGAAGAGGGAGAGTTGTACGCTACTCAGGGGCGCCACCAGGAACTCCGGGCCCCGTGAAAAGATCTCACATAGGGCCCCTACCACGGCCCAAACTAACCTAACATTTCTATA